ATGCTGGTGATGATGTTGATGCTGATGATGCTGCTGATGATATGGCGATGACAAAGCTGGTGATGATGCTGATGACGACGACGATGCTGATGATGATGATCATTATGCTGATTATGCTGATTATGAATATGATTATCATGCTGATGAGGAGGATGACGATGATGCTGATGGCTGTTATTGTTGATGCTGGTGCTGCTGTTGCTGCTGACGATGCCGTTGATGATGCTGATGATGATGATGCTGCTGATGCTGATGCTGATGACGATATTGATGCTGATGCTGAGGCTGATGATGTTGGTGGTGATGGTGATGATGCTGAGGCGGAGGATGATGATGCTGATGCTGATGCTGAGGCTGGTGCTGCTGGTGGTGCTGATGCTGATGCTGATGATGGTGGTGGCGATGTTGATGATGCTGAGGAGGATGATGAGGAGGAGGATGAGGATGAGGAGGAGGAGGAGGATAAGGAGGAGGAGGAGGAGGAGGCGGCTGAGGAGGAGGATGAGGAGGAGGAGGAGGAGGAGGAGGGGCGAAGGGGAGGAGGAGGAGGAGGAGGAGGAGAAGGAGGAGGAGGAGGAGGCGGAGGCGGAGGCGGAGGCGGAGGACAGGAGGACAGGAGGAGGAGGAAGAGGAGGAGAATGAGGAGAAGGGGAGGAGGAGGCGGAGGATGAGGAGGAGGAGGAAAAGGAGGAGGAGGAGGAGGAGGAGGAGGAGGAGGAGGAGGAGGAGGAAGGGGAGGAAGAGGAGGAGGAGGGGAAGGAGGAGGAGGAGGAGGAGGCGGAGTGCGAGACTTAGTGGGTGTATGAGGTGGCGCAGGAGGAGGAGGAAGTCGAGGAGGAGGAGGCGGAGGACGAGGAGGAGGTGAGGAGGACGGAGGAGGAGGAGAGGAGGAGGAGGAGGAGGAGGAGGAGGAGGAGGAGGAGGAGGAGGAGGAGGAGGAGGAGGAGGAGGGAGGAGGAGGAGGAGGTGGAGGAGGAGGAGGAGGAGCAGGAGGAGGAAGAGGAGGAGGAGGAGGAGGAAGAGGGGATGGGTTCTGGAGTTCTGGAAATAGCGACTAGGTCGGACGCAGGATGACGGCCAATATATCAGGGTGGAGCAGTGCTGGGGATTATGGCTCTTGACACGTTGTATCACATAGGTATGTGCTTACACATGTAAGCAGGAGGCTGAACGTCAAGCACAAGTGGACGTAGTATAAGTAATCTGAGTAGTAATTGGAAGATGAAGCATCCGCTGCATTCCACTCCCCGCGAGGCATCGCCGACACGGGCAAGCTGCTGGAGAGAGGCGTGCCTCCCTGGCGCGTGTCCGCCAGCTGGCTCTCCGTGTGGCTCGAGCGGATGTTCGTGTGGCTGCTGGAAGGCTCCACGACGACGCGCTCCCACCTCCTCTCGGCAGGGTCGCGCACAGGCCGAGCGGCACCAGTCTCGGCGCGGAGGCGGAGGCGGATGCGGAGGCGGCGGAGGAGTAGGAGGAGGAAGAGGAGGAGGAAGTGGAGGAGGCGGAGGAGGAGGCATCAGCTGGAACAGCGGCACGTGGAGGAGCCACCAGAGCCACTGCAGGAGGAGGAGGAGGAGGATAATAATGGGGAGGAGGAGGAGGAGGAGGAGGAGGAGGAGGAGGAGGAGGAGGAGGAGGAGGAGGAGGAGGAGGAGGAGGAGGAGGAGGAGGAGGAGGAGGAGGAGGAGAGGGGGAAGAGGAGGAGGAGGAGGAGGCGGAGGAGGAGGAGGACCACCGTAGATCCAAGACGCACCAACGATGTTGCAATACACCCTTTCTCCAAGTCCCCTTTCCATAGGTCGCTGCAAAGCGTTGTTTTTAACCGTCTGGAAGACAGCCGTCTGAAATTTTCGGTCGTGCAAGAGCACTGTTCTTGGGATTTCAACGCCCAGAATCAACGTGTTTGTTGCGTCCTGACGGTCCTGCATCGCACCAGAATGCAATTCTAGACGCTTCGCGTATCCCCACCAGCGGCCACTTGAATTCTGGTCATTTTGTCCAGTGCACGTGCTCGAGCTTGCAGTACGCCAGCCAGTTCAGCGTGACCCAGCCTGCAGCCGCCGTCTGAGGGGGCCGGCCGGCGCCTCTGCTTAGCAATTAGCCTCGCCCGTGGCCCGGACGTTGCCCTTGCCGCCTGACCGTCGTCTCGCGGCCGCGACCAAGAA